AAGTTGTTCTACTTAGTGTGACCACGCACAATTTTTCGCAAAATTCCACAATTTGGAGGAGGTATATTTTATCTGGTCACATTTTTAACAGAATTTGGTGAAGTGTGACCGCGGATTTATCGGAAATATACCGAAATGAATATAATAAACGGGTCGTAAAGGCTACTGAATTACCCAGCACTGGAAAATACTAAAAAGTAACAGTCTGCGCCACAGTTTGAATTCAAATTTAAATGATATATTTTTAAAATCTTGATTCTCCACAAAAATAAGTAATTAAAATTAATAAAGTTCTACTTTTGTATATCACTGGGAAGAATTTCTATATCAAGTAGGTATAGGTATATAGTAGGAATATTTCTACAATTTTTTAAAGTATTAAAAATGATTAGCTACTCATATTCCTGAAAAGTAATCTGCACTTAGAACCTTTGGACCATAGTAACACACGACGGAATTAAAGTCCCGCAGAATTCTCGAACATTTTTGCCGAATCATGATTTACATCATAGAAAAAAACCTGAGACACATACGAGTACCTTTATCAGTTTATTGACATGTAAATTAATGCAAAGCGTCATAAGGCATAGGCATAATAACTAAAAACAACGCGTGCTTGAATAGCTAAATATTTTCGTGCTATAATTTAAAGGGGCACAACCGGCCGGGCCGCCGCTGTAACGCTCCCGAGTCGCGATGATGTCTACGACAGCGTCTAGGAATTGCCTCTGTAAACAACTAAAAATTGCCAAAAAAAAAAATTAAAAAAAAAAAAAATAAATTTTGGATATGTGAAGTCACCTGGCGCCAATTGGATGGGTAAATAAACAGAATGCCGGTTTCATATCATATCACACGTAAGCGTATAGTATATAAAGCAAATCGCCTCTGCTATGCTAATTTATCGATGACGAACGCTCGAAGACTTTTACTACCATTTGGCAAGTGGTCGGGTCGGATTAGATTCCCCCTCCATGCCATGCTGCCGTGCTGCGGGGCTGCCTGTTTGAGCCTGTTTGGGCAGCAGCGCGCTTGTCAGCAGCTCTCGGTGGGGGGGGAGGGGCAAGTTTTTCAGCAGCGAATCCCATTAAGAATGCCAACGGGGGGAAACCAGTTTGTGGTCGGTCGCCTCCCGCCGCTCTTGACTTATGATGCCTAATTGGTTTATGCTCGGAATTGAGTTGTTGCCAAAAATCAAAAAGATCCAATTTGTCTCCGCTGCAAAACGGAAATTCTATTCAATCACCTTGGGTAGAATTCGCTAAATGCATCAGCAGATGGCTGGTGTTGGGGTAGAAGTGAAGATAATTAATATATCTATGAAGAGTTCAACAGACTAGCTTGGGAATAGCTCATCCCATGTGTGATCTGTGACCTTTGATCACTCATTTGCATCAGCTATGCTGCCTGACCTGCCATTTAACACATTTTATTTGACACTTCATTTTGGAATTCCCCGAACAATTATAATGCTCGATCGCTGATCTCAAACAGCAAATAGCAAACAGCGGGATGGATGATTTGTGTAGGTACACTGGACTGGCTGCTGATAATTTAAAATTATTATTTGCACTTCATTATAAGCGCGCACAAAGCATCCAATCCAACCGATCGACAGAGCAGGCTAGACGGACAGGTTCAATTTCACATTGTTTGGTCGAGGCGGAGTCGGGAAGGGGTTTGTGGTACGACTTATAGATCTATAAAAAGTAAAAGCTCGAATCGCCGCTGTCCGAAAAACTGGCTGGCGGCAGTTTGAGCATTAAAATTTATAGAATCACTTTTGATTGTTGCTGCTGTTGCTGTTGCTGTTTCTGTTGTTGCCTGGCACATGTTAATAATATTAATTAATAATATTGTGCTGCTGCTGACTGCGAACTCTCGATATGTGTAGCCTATCAACTGGCATCGTATGGGCAGAAGCCACAGACACAGCGCCACAGCGACGGGCAACAGGCAAGACAAGTCTAGAATGAATAAACTAAAGTGTACTGGTTGCCGCTGCCGTCTTGGCCTGGCTCTGGGGACCGTCCCATCGCGCAGCCAGCGCGCAAAATTTTATAAATACTTGCGTCTGTCCCGAGCCAATTTACAGTTTAGCATTGAACTTGGTCGGGAGTTCGCCAAATCATCGAACGCGTCGCCGCAGTCGTAGAGTCGTAGTCGTAAACGAATTCGTATTCGCATCCATCCGTTGCTCCGAGAATCCCTCAGCATGTTGCTGCTCCAGCTGTGCTTCGTTGCCCTGCTCGTGTGCCTGGCCAGTGGCGCCTCCAGTTTTCGTGAGTTATCCATCCAGGAGAATCCCGTCCTTCCCCCATCCAGAGCGCAGTCTAATTCCTGGCCAATCCTTGCCCATTGCAGCTCCTGATTTGCAGCGCTGCCGCATTGGCGACACCAAGTGCATCATCAATACCGCCCACTACGTGGTGCGTAAGTATGCCAAGACGGGTTATCCCGCAGCCGGCTTCCCGCAGGTGGAGCCCTTCCTGGTGAAGCGTTTCGATATATCCGACGGTCGCACGGGCTCCCTCAACCTCAAGCTCAACTTTAAAGATGTCAATGTGGAGGGCCTGTCCGGCGTGCAGTTCGACAATGCTGTGTAAGTGGCAGCAAAAGTGATCAAATGGACAAACCGTGCACGTTCTTTACCTCCCAATTCGTTGTCTCGTCTGTTCCCGCAGTGGTTTTGGCGCAGATCCCGGCACCAGCAAGTTCGAGATGTACGGCAGCATCCCGAAGATTGTGCTGCGCGGCAAGTACACCGCTGACGGACGCATTCTGATCCTGCCAATCCGCGGTGACGGCGATGCTGACATCACCCTGCATTCGCCCAAGTTCTCGGTGAAGTTTAAGCCTGGCACGCAGGTGCGCGACGGCCGCACCTATCTCACCGTGGACAAGCTGAAGGTGCTCGTGGAGCCACAGAGGTAAGTGCACAGAGCTTCAGTTGCAGTCCAGTCGCAGGCAGCTTCTATATATATGATTTTCAGAATGAACATCAAGCTGACGAACCTCTTCAACGGGGACCAGGCGCTGGGTGCCAATCTGAATCAGTTCCTCAACGAGAACTGGGTCGAGGTCTGGAGCGAGCTGCAATCTTCCATCCATTTGGCCATTGCGGAGATCATGAAGAGCATCCTCTCCAATCTGTTCAAGCGCTTCGCCTACGAGGATCTGTACCTGGAGAACTGATAGAACAGAGCACAGCTTAGTCATTAACTTAACCCTTAACCAGCATAAGTGTACGAGTATTTCCCCCCCACTGCCATTTACTTATCCAGCGTGCAGCGTGCCTTTGGCCATGCCATTGACTGTTCCATTGCTCCCAGGCACCGCCACATACATATATCATCATCATCATCATCATATTTGCTAGGTTATTACTTACTATACTTACTATATAAAGACAAAAAGGTAGAATAAACCAAATTGTATATGAATAACCGGTTATGGCCCGTAGCTTCTCCTGCCCGGAGGGGAGCAGTTTCTTCTAATCTAATCGTTTCCGCACAATACGATTTTTGGCAAGCGATTAGTAATCGTCTCACGTGACGGTGCCTGCCATTTGCATGACAATCAAAGATTGCCTCCCCTCCAGTTCCCCAGGTCCGCTCAGCGAGAAAACTCGCTCTCAAGTTCAAGTGTGTGTGCAACGGTAAACACGAGAGGTGCGGCCATGGCCCCAGCGTCAGCCGACACCCAGTTGACCTTCGGGCCAGTGCACAAAAATCTTCCACTTGCGAGTCAATCAACTGCAACTCAAACTAGTTATGCTTCCATTCCATTCCATTCCCAATTTATTATGATCATAAGGAGGCCGGGCTGGGCTGGGCTGCAAAGCGGTGCGTTATAGTTAACGAAATGTGTGGGAACCTGTTCCTGCGGCTTACCTTAAATCCCTTTGATTCGCTTTCTGCTAGAGAGCGCAGCGTCTCTGAGCGTCATGATGACTCGGTTGTTTTTGTCCCATTTGGCTATTTTTGGATTTCCCTTTCCAACAACAGAAATATGTACGTATGTACTGCCATTGACGCGTTAATACTGTAATTAACAGATGATTTGTCTGAAACAATAACAACTAAAACATTTTGCCATATGCTTACATATGCTTTACATTTTTAAATGGATAATTACTTATCATCGTGTTATTACGCGGTGTAAAGTTTATACTGAATATTCTGTAGATTAGATAGTTGTTTACTCGTTAATTCGTATTTACAACGGTCATCTTTCCCAGCCCATCAAAATTTGTTTGAATAGGACCATAGGATACTTCTAAAATTTAAACCATAACAGCCACGTAGGCGCATACGGCAACGCCACCATGCATAAGCACCACCATTCGGCAACTCTAAAACAGAGCGAAGCAAGAACACAAAGTTGTTTAAAGCTCTCTCTTATTATTATTAATAAACTCTTAAAACCGTGATTATACTGATAAGTACAAGTAAAAGTACACAACAAAATATTATTGCGGTAGTTAATAGCTTTGTGCAACACGATCAATAACCTTTCCTAGCCCAACCCAACAATGTGATGCGTATGTGTGGCCATATAATAACACGTGTGTATGTAATCGATCGTGCGGCCGAGCGTCCTGCCCTAGAAAATTGCGCAATAGCAAAAACACAATTCGAATCGTAAATTGTGTGTTTAAGTGTAACATTAAATGATTAATCAATTACAATTAACCCCCGCAACAAAGGAATTCTGTTGAAGCAACAAAATGGAAAAGTTAAAAGGCAATAAATCTGTGTTACAAGTTCGCGCACAGACACATGCACACAATGTACGTAGGCTTGCATGTAAGTATTTTAGCTAACAATCATATGCAATTAATTAACTAATAGTGCAACACATTTAAATATGGATTCAGGCCAAGCCAAGCCTAACGATGCAATCGATCTCCCATCAAAAACGGGTTCGCCGCGTAAGCGTCAGAACGTCAGCGGCAGCGGCAGCGGCAGCAACAGCATCTCACAATTTTACGGTGACTAATTGAAGCGGGGAGTGAAGTGGCGTACAATTGGAGGCTCGCCACTATAAATAGTAAACGAAATGCCGGTAAATAGTCAGTAGTTTTCGCATTCTAAAGCCGTGTCAACATGCCGCGTATTATTGTTGCCCTCGTCCTGTGCCTGGCAGTGGCAGTGCAGGCGGATTTCCGTAAGAATGGATTTCCAGGACGCAACCAGATAACTAACACTCTCGATTCCCTCCAGCCGATGATCCGAAGCCGTGCAAATACGGAGATACCGAATGTATGGTCAAGTTTTGCAACAAGCTAATCACGGATAAGGCAACCGAGGGGGATGCCAGCCTGAACCTGGTGCAGCTGGATCCTATGACGGTGGATAAGATGGTGCTCAGGCAGGGCGCCAATGGGAGTCCAGTGAGCATAGATCTCACCTTTACGGACAATAAACTGTATGGAAACAAGGATGTGCGCTTCAAAAAGATGAGGTAAGTTCTGATACAAATCAAAGTAACACTGTGGGTTTTTCATAAATATTCCTTGCACAGAGGATTCGGCAAGGAAATTGCCACTAAGCACGAAATGGTCATGAGCTCCAAGGTGTTCTCCCTGGTGGGTAATTACTCCATCAAGGGCCAGATCCTGGTACTGCCCATAAGCGGCTCCGGGTACAGCAACATGACAATGAGTAGGTTAAACGAATGTCTACCCCACTAAATCCTCACTAAATTCCACTTACTTTCAGTTGGAGCGGATGTGAAAATCAGTTTTACAGGCAAGCCGGTGGAGAGGAATGGAGAGATTTACATGGAGGCCAGCGACTTGAAGTATTACTTGAAGCCAAAGAGCCAGCACTATTACTTTAGCAATCTCTTCAACGGTGACAAGACGCTGGGCGACACAATGAACACCTTCCTCAACGAGAACGGTGCGGCCATATTCAGTGAGACGAAGGAGACAATTGAGAATGCCTTTGCCGCGTTATACGAGCCGCTAATGACGAGGGTCTTCTCCAAGTATCCCTATGCCAAGTACTTTGCCGCGGAGGAGGAGGGTAGCTAACTACATACTCTCATTTCGAGTGAGAAAACTTTGCCCAAGTTCGTTTTAAGCTGTCGGAAATAACACGCATACGCTGCAATCATCATTAGATTTAATGAGTGCTGTAAAACAGAGCCATTAAGGTGTTAGAAATAAGTGGAGAAATAACTAAATTTGATCAAAGGTAGATCATCCATCGCAGCTGAGTATTCCGACTGCTGCCTGAAAGTATGTGGCATAGACAGCTTATTGACCCACAAGGAAATATTGTACTGTATGGGGACTAATGGGGACCCAACTAATGACCCTTAACAAGTGATCAGCCACTCAACTCATTAAACGCAATTAAATTAAAGTATGTCAAAGGCGCACTCGAGCGAGCGGTGGTTCTTAATGAATAATGTTTGAACGCCCCACGGAAATTTTGCATACTGTACACAAATCAGCCGGGCCGGCAAAACGTGATTAGGTGCAGGGGGGTAGGGAGCACTGGGTGGGGGCAGTGCAGTGTCATTGGCATGGGGAGTGGAACTGGAACTGAAACATGCCCCCCTCACCCCAGCGCCATGTAAGATCAAGTTCAAATTGGCAGTTCATTAAAGGGAGTCGTAAAATAAATCTACCGGTAATAACATCTCACTCGTCGCCCCATCATCCCCATTGGGGAGGCTGCCGGTTTCTGTTAATAACCCATTTACCATTCACCGAGACCTGCACTGAGTCAGTCTCTGACTTTGTCTAAAGTGACATTCTCGGTCACTTAAAACGCAAAAGCGGTTTACAGCAGCTACAGCAACAGCAGCAACAACACAAAACGCATTTAAATTCACACTCGGACACAAAATTTCAATTGAAACTGGCCAGGAGAACGTACAAAACAAACCGACTATAAAGGTGGGCCCAAGTGTGGGCCAGCGAGACAGTCTTCCAAGGCATTCAACAGCGATCATAATGGAGAGTAATTTCAGTTTCGTCCTGCCGCTGCTGCTGCTCAGCTGCCTGGCTATATCCGTGCACGGACACGCCTCTGATCTGCGTAAGTCCCGATCCCGATTCCTGCCCCCGCTCAGCTCATATTTGTATGCTAATTGAAATTCTTTCTGCAGCCGCTGGTATCCAGAGATGCGCCATTATGGACGATCAGTGCGTGGTGAATGGCGTGAATTATGTGCTCAAAAACTACGCCCAGAGTGGCATCAAGGAGCTGGGATTGATACCATTGGATCCGCTGCACATAACCAAGTTCAATATTGGCCGAAATCCACACAGTCCGGTCAGCGTTGATTTGAGCTTCACCGAAGTGGACCTGTTGGGTCTGTCGCGCGGCAACGCCAAGCGAGTGGGGTAAGAAAGAATCCCCGATATTAGTTCCCAATCAATGCTAAGTCTATCCTTCGTTTTCTAGTGGTTTCACTGCTGATCTCAGCAAGCCAATTGAGTTTGTGATGGAGGTGCCCGAAGTGGCAATCAAGGGACCCTACTCGGTGGACGGCAAGGTGCTCATTCTGCCCATTGTTGGCAAGGGCAGGGCCGAGATTGTGCTGAGTAAGCAAACAGCCAACCACCCCAAAGGTTTCCCACTCATTCAGCTGCATATCTCCTACCCTTTCCAGAGCACTGCAAAATCCATTCTTTCATCACTTTTCGGCCCATATCAAGGGGCGGGCACACCTTCGCAGAAGTGGCCGACATCAAGATGCAGGTCGATCCCTCGAATGTCAGCTTCAAGCTGGAGGGTCTCTTCCATGGCCAGAAGGATCTCAGCGACAACATGCACATCCTGATCAACGAGAACTGGCAGGATATCTTCAATGAGCTGAAGCCGAGCATTAGCGATGCCATGGGCCTGATAGTCAAGTCTGTGCTGAACAAAATCTTTGGCAAACTACCCCTAGAGGAGCTCTTCATATTGTAGAATGGATACCACCCCCTACCACCCCTAGTTCAATTCCTTATTGGTTATTATTGTGTTTCTTAGTTCGATTGCTTACATGTGCAAATATTTAATTGAATTTCAAATTCAAAATATAAAAGTTCCTTGGACGACAAAACGTTTCAACTTAATCCAAATACAAATACATTCAACTTACTAAATACAATCAATAGAACGTTTCTGTTGTTGCTGCTTACAAAACTACAAACAAATCAAAAACTGTACGCTTATAATTATTTTCAATATTGGATATGTAAATGCAGCTGCAATCCAAATTCGATCATCGTTGCTGTCTCTTCCTCTTACTTTTGATTATCGTTTTCGTTATACTTTTGATATTTCTTCTCTTTTTCCTTTCCTCTTCCTTTAGCTGCGGAAGCACAAGGGCTTGAAGCGACGCGTTCCAGTGGCACGCTTTGGTGGCGATGAGGGCTCCAGCAAATCGCTTATGTCCAGCAAATCGATGCCTCCCATGCGTACTTCAGGCGCTTCAGCTGCTGCTTCATCCACATGGTCAGCAGTGCGCTCTTGTGGCGCACATATGGCCCGAACTTCGGGCGGAAAGTAAATGTCGGGAGTGTTGAGGAGTGCAGACAGGAAGTCGTCGTTCTCAGCGGCACATTCGATGACATTCTGCAGCTTATAACGGTGCGCGATTAGCTTTTCCTCCGGGCTGAGCTTCTTGGGTTCAGCGGCCTTCAGCTCGGTGGCAGCCAACTGCCTGGCTCTGTCCATGAGTGCATTGTGGTCCTGGGTCATGGCGGCCGAATAGCGATGCTCATGGTCCATTTCCCAGTTGAACACATACACACAGAGAAAGGCGGCGCGCAGCCACTCGCGCAGATTCGTGAGCAAGTCCTCCAGTTTCAGGGCATTAGCTGCAAAGAAAACTAGATGTTCAGTGCCTTGGATTGATGATTGACGATTGCATGGAGCTTACACTTGGCTACAGCGCCCAAAAAGTTGCCATTTCGATGGCGCAACGTGGAGTGGGAGAACTGCTTAAAGGACTTTAGGAAATTCAACGATCCCTTGAGGAGTTTGTCGCACTCCGTGTACTTCCCGTAGTCCAAGTTGCGATTAGCTTCGAGCATGCGGCGCTGGTTGGCCAGAAAACGTTCCGCCTTGGTGCACAGCACCTCCACCTGATAGCGCAGATTCAGGCTCCAGGGCATGGTGCGCTTCTTGGGCAGATCAAACAGATAGTCCGATGGGAAGGAGTGTTCCGGCCCAAAGCCCAGCTCCTGGTTCATGTGCTCGTGCAGCGACTTGAACAGATTCATCAAACGCACAACGGTATTGCGCTCCACGCTGTGAAAGAGGAGCATTCACACACACACACACATGAATACTGGGCGAGCACATGGCTGCCATTCACCACTCACCAATCACCACGTAGGCCAATGGAACGCAGCATCGGAGTCAGTTGGGTCCTGTTGTATAGATTCTCCATTTGTAGCTGGTGCTGCCTCTGCCCAGACGTGGCAGAAGCTCCCGACTTTGACTTCTTTTGATGGCGCCCACTCATAATTGGCTCCTCGTTGTCGCGGGTTCTCTTCGTCAAGGCCTGGCACCCGTAGCCGTGGAACTCAAAGCGAGGAGCATTCTCCAAGTTCAAGTCTTTGAAATTGGCCTGCAGCTCGGCCAGCACCATGTGAGAGGTGCTCCCCGAGGGAGTTCCAGCGCGGGGCTGCGGCCCCGGCGGATTCTCATTGGATTCCAGCAAGGAGCACAGCTTTGTGCCCATCTCCATGAGATTATCCTCCAGCATCTTGTCCTCGCAGTCCATATTCTTAGCAAACAGAGAGTTGAACATTTTTCGCGCTAAAAATTGCAGTTGGGGAATTGTTGTTGTGTGCGAAATGCGAAGAAAAGCGCGGTGCCAAGCTGTCTGGGAGATTTTTTGGGCAGACAGACGCGCCAAGCTGTCTGGCCTGGAGTCTGGGCGCCGATAGCAACCGATAGTTCGATATCGATTTTCGATCAAATATACCGAAATATACCCAACCATTTTCATAATATACCGTGGAAAATCATATTCATCAATTTTGATATTCTATTTAGTATTCCCAGCTAGTTAGGCCTGTACCAACTGAAAATATCATTTTAACAGATAGATGAATCAATTTTCTACAATCCGGCTTGTTTTAAGGACTCCTATTTAGTGGATTACTTAAAAAATAAGCTTAAAGCAAGGGTCAGCAAAAATGTGCCTTTTTTACATGATGACTACACGTATGCTACATTTGGCGTATGGAGTATGGCACTTTGTATACCCAATATCCTTTCAATAATGTTGAATTACTGCTATCCAAGCTGCTTTAAATCTGTGGTATAAGCATTTCTCGCATTGAAATGTTTTTGACCTAAATAAGATTTCTCTATATATATGGATATATATATATATATATATATATTTCGCGCAACCATTGTATATTTAGTCCTTGTACGAGGCCCTTAAAATAAGCTTGTTCTAATACTGGGGCCATACCTTGCCATGACTCAGTCGAAAGAGAGCACTCAAAACTCTCTCCTACTCATTTTTGCGTCAAGTGTGAGCCCAAAAATACTCCAGAAATATACCGTAAATATACTGACGAACACGACAAGATTCGTTGCTATTCCTCGATTTTGAAATTTGGTGGCCTATTGCTAGCCATTGAGGACTCTCAGCACTGAACATATAATTTTATCCAATTTATGAATCAATTTTCTACAATATGGATGACAAACATTTCATCAATCTCCTTTTCCCTAATAAACCATGAAGGAAGTTTGTAAATGAATTTTTTTTATCCATTGCATTTATTTGTATGTTTATATAAACAATAATATTAATAGTATTTATGGTTTGCTTGAATTTGGCGCAAATTTTGCGTGTCAGCCCTGGTATTTAGGGTATGGCGGTAACAACCTCTGTTTTTGAAAAGTCTATTCTTTACTAATAGCGAGCGCTAGTATTCAAATTTGAATATTTAACCATTTCGCACTTGGCAACACAATAAAAAAAACGAGAAGGAACGTGTAGGTCGCTTCTGGGGACGCGAATCTACTTATACCCGTACTCAGTCAGTATATAGATGTTTGAGCTTATGATTTTATAGAATTTCAGAATTAAAAAAAAAATTTACATTTTACATTTTTTTGCTACATCTGTTATCTACATCTACAATGTATATTCTACATCTGAGGCGGGGAAACCAACTTAAAATTAATTTCTTCATTCTGGCTATAATTGTGATCCGATCTGATTCAGGTGCAGTGTGATATCACATGGGCCTGGAAACCAAATTTGGTTGCCCTAGCTCGTATAGTCTCTTAGATCTAGCCGACAAACAAGACGGACAGACAGACATGGCTCTATCGACTCGGCTATTGATGCTGATCAAGAATATATATACTTTATGGGGTCGGAAACGTTTCCTTCTCTGCGTTACACACATCCACTTTTACCACAAATCTAATATACCGCTTAACTCTTTTTTGAGTACGGGTATAACAAATGCAACGCGCGGAATACACTAAATCAGCACTAAAATATAAGATACCTCCCGACTATGGCCCGCACTAGCACATCATAGACAACAACAAATACCACAGGCAGGAGCTCTCTTTTTCACGTTTACCAACCACAAGATCGTTAATTCTTTAATATACAAAGCACAATGAACCAAAGAAAGCCAGGAATTGTTATATTACAAGCTTTCTTTCTATTTTACAGCCACAGTCAATCCTTCTTCATAGTAGTTCAAACGTTTTGGTTGCGTCTACATGCCAGTTTTAAAACTACTTAATATAAAAATTGTCGCTGCTCCTGCTGCTTTCGGCTGTTGTTGTTTGGTGCTTCGCTTCTCACAAATCCCTTCGGAACAGCGGCGGCGTCTAGAAAAGCGATGCGGTACGAGACACATTTTCGAATGAAAAAGAGTTGATGGAATTTTTTTTTGTGGATTCTTTACGTTTTAGTTTTTATTAAAAAATTAATAATTTGTGGTTCATCCAAGAGAGTCCCATTTTACTGTGGCTTCCTGCGGAACGAGCAGCCTGAAAGGGGAACAATAAAACCATTTAGTAATGCGCCAAGATAGGATCAAAGGGCGAGCGGGGGATTGATTGAAGGACTCACCTTCTGTCAGCTTGGCACGTCCTCCAGTTGGCTGGCACAGAATGGTGGCGCAGCCAGCGCAGACCACGACGCCCTGTGCATGACTGAACACAGTTGTGATTCTGTAGCAGCCAGGGCATTTCACGTCCATGAAGTAGGAGTTGGGGTGCTGGACCAGACGCTTCAGCTTGTGCTTGCGTTTCTCCTCAGCGGGAAGAGGGTGCAGTAAATCTTTTGCTAGCTAAAAGTAGAAGGGGAAACCATATGATCAGTACTCGAACTCGCACTCGCATCAACAAAATGCATTCTCATAGAAAGAACAACAAAAATTCGCAAATGCCATTTTTCTAGGTTAAGTTGAATGAATTGACACGAATTGTGTTGGCAAAACAGTCACAATTTCATAAAAAATTGTAATATCCGTATCATTTCACAATTGTTTGCAATTTCTTGGGCGCATGCCACGCGTGGGTACAACACCAATACACGGCAAGCAGTTGGTCAGACGTTCGCAGTATTTGACTGTTGTTGGGGTGGAATTGGCGGTTTTCACACCAAACACACATTTCTTGAGCACTAGACACATTGGCGGTGCGCTCGGCATGGTTTTTGCCATGCCATTTGCGAGTTTTCGTTGTTTAAAACCAATTTTTAGATTCATTTAGCACCCACCGGCATGTTTTTTCTTTCACAGCTAACACGGAAAAGGAAGTAGTGTAATTCGCAGCCAACTTAGCTCGGTACAGAAAGCACTAAAATATACCAAATTAAGATTACTTTCAGTGTTGTACACCATCAATATGGTATATGTGGTATGTTTGGGGAATGGCGTTAGTATCAAATTTCTGCAAAGCAAAGTAAACACATTTGGCGCCAGGAATTGTTGCATTTATTCGATTAAACTATATAAATAGGAAGAAATGCGAACTGTTACAGGACCCGATCACACAATAGACTTGAATGAGTCCATCCAGTGCTACGAGATATGCGCAAATGACTTTGCCTACAACCTCATCGCAGTGGCGCTGGAAAAACGCATCTGCTTGCTTGTGGTTGGACTGCCGGCAAGTATTGTTCACAGTATGTTGCTTAAATATTGAATTTAAATGAATCTGGTGTCCATAGGAGGAGAGCTGCGAGTTCTTGTGGCATCATCTGCAGGACTTGGAGCTGGCTGAAAGAGATGCACGCTGCGTCAATTCCATAGCCTTTTCTCCGGACACTTCTCTGAACAGCACTCCTAACAATGTGACTTTTTGCGCCGCCCTTGGCAGGGATATGATGATATTTCGCACGGATGTCAATCAGTACAACACGGTGGACACCTTGCGTGGACACACCGACTACGTGAATGACATATCCTGGGTGTGCGAAGGAGAGTTTCTGGCCTCGGTCAGCGATGACTTTACGTGCCGCTTCTGGAGCACCGCCGCAGTGGCCGAGAACGTCATCACCTTCTGCTTGTCCTCGGCGGGCATGTCGATCAAAAGCCATCCAGAGGATAGCGAAAAGGTGCTTGTGGCCGAGAAGAGAGGTGGGTTGTAGACTAGTATGATCATTAAGGGCCACTGTTAACCCAACTCCTACTTTCAGGCATCATCCATCTCTACAATGTAAGACAGAAGCAGACGGTTCTGTCCGTGGAATCGCCAAAGTTTCCCCTGATGTCCGCTGATTGGGCCCAGAGCAATCGCTTGTTTGTCTCTGCTCTGGCGGGAGGTGATGTCATCACCTGGGACCTCAATCGTCCATTTGTGCCCGCCGACGTCAAGCAGATCCATGAGGATGGTGGCCGCGTGGTTCGCTTTGCGCCCGGCAGCTCAGACATGATCCTGGCCAGCATCGGACGCCCAGGTTTAACGCTCAAAGTGTTTGCAGCAAAGTCTACGGTGCCGCTGCTTGAAACTGATTTGAAAACGTATGCAGGATTGGCCTGGCATCAACGATTGCCTTACATAAGTGCGGCGTCTGACAGGAAATTGCTGTTCTGGAAAGTACAAATGAAATAGATCAAACAAATAAAAAAAAAAACTGCATTTAAAATTAAATTTGTTTTCTGGTATATTTTATTAAGTGTTGGTAATGTTAGAAAAATACCATCAAAATCCAGTACTCTTTGATGGCAACGCTTCGGCTGCCGAAGTTCGACAACACTAATTTATCGGTCCCGGTCTTTGTTGGCAGTGCCGCGTCAAGCTAAATTTCATTCTTTAAATTAAGTATTTAACAATATATACGATTTGATTGGATTGCAAAGCCAGTAAAGCGTATTTATCCTGGAATTGCCGAGCTAGAATTGATCCGACTTCTAGTTTTGGCAAGTTCCTGTTTGAGCAATCACTGTTGAACCGAGCCGATGACTAGGTAAAAGCCAAGCCGCGAAGCACATTTTAGCAAAGCCGTGAAAAGATTGTCAACTGAAGCGAAATAACTATACATAAGATATGTGGACGACAAGGAAGGAGGTGGACGAGCAGGTTCACAAAATACTTGGCAAATTGCCGCCCGGACACTTGGTAATTATTGCATTGGAATTTCTTCTATGTTGCGAAATAGTCGGCGCCGCCGCCATTGGCGCCATGCATGTAATGATGTTTCAGTGTGCTTGTGTGCGTGCAGCGTCACTTCGCATCGTCCCGCCGTGACTGGGGGGGATGATGGGATGCATCTTTCAAATGAAAATTGCGCGCTTTTCTATCGTCACATGTCATTGTGCATGGTGGGATATTAATTATAAATATGCTAGTCGCTAGCCTTTGGCTGCTGTAATGTTTGGCCCTGCATGGATGGATTGCCTTTTGGCAAAGTGAGGTTAGGCGACATTTATTTTAAATTCGTTTATTTTTGTATTTTTTAGCGCGATGTCAAGGGCATGGCGGTGGCCCGCATGTACTATAAGATACAGGAATACCCGAAAGCCATTGAATACCTCAACAGCTATCTGAAGGTGAAGGACGAGGCCAATGCCCACAAGTTGATTGCCGCCTGCTATACGATGCGCAAGCAACCCGATCCCAAGCTGGCCCTGGAGCACTACCAGCGCTGCATCCAGCTGAATCCCAAGCAACCCGATGTGATCGACGACGCCTGCCAATTGCTGCTGGACGACAGCAACGGCCTCTTCAGCGTCGAGTGTGCCAAGTTCTGGCTGGACATGGCCGGAGGCATTCAATTGAATGAGACCGAGCTGATGTTCCAGATGCGCATGAAGCTGAAAGTCCAAGAGACCACCAATGGTGGCGGAGGGGGCAGCGATGGGGAGCTGCGCGACATCACAGCAGCCAACTCGGAGATAAACGCCCTCGAGGAGATCATGCACAGGGAGCTGCAGGCACGGCCACAGGACGTGCAGGTGCGGGTGCGTCTCATCCGCTGCTATCTGGAGAAGAAGAAACTGGAGGAGGCCTTCAACTACGCCTTCAGGGTGGAGCTGGACGAGAAGAGTGTCACCAGTCAGTGCGCCGATTGGTATGAAATCCTTTGGACGACACTCACCAAGCTGGAGCAGGGCAAGGACGTACCAAAGAAGTTGGGCCCGCGCTTCTGGCAGCTGGCGCTCCACACCCTCGACCGCCTCACGCAGCTTAGCCTGGAGTCGGGCAAGAGTATGCTCGACTGCAGCAGCCACTTGTTCCGGCTCGACCAGTACTTGCACAAGTTCAACATGGAGAAATCCGCGTCGGCCGATCAGCTGCAGTCGGAGCTGCACCAGTCCTGCATCGATCACTACTCGGGTCAGCTGCTGCTGCATGCGGTGGCGCTCGTCTTCAAGCGAGAGATTGTGAGCAACCACAACAAGTGGGTGAAGTGCGTGAAGAGCGTGCTGCCCATGCTGCTGCTGGGCTACCAGTCGAAGCCGCTGCCGGAGAACTTCTCCCAGCCCTGGATGAAGCACTGCGACGGCGATCAGAAGAAGCTACTGCAACAGTGGCGCCTCCAGGGTGCCTTCCGTTGCGCCCAATTGGGCAGGACTCTGAACGGCTGCCTCCGGCCCGCGAAGCCCCATGACATGGACCAAAAGGAGAACGTCCAGACGGTGCAGAACAATGTCAACCAGCCAATGCTTGGCTTGTTTGAGGACTCCGATAAGCTGCTGGCCTGCGCCCGCCTCCAGTGGCAGGACAAGAACTGGCGTCGCCAGCTCTTCCCGGTGCTCTTCTCCCACCCCGAGCACAAGCTGAAGGAGAACTCGTCGCATCTCGTGCGCAATCCCAAGCTGGATGAACCCCTGTACGAGTGGCCAGCGGAGGCGGACATCGAGTCCTATGAGCGGCAGGCCCAGCTGCTGCAGCCCCAGTCGCTGGCGCAACATGTGTACCTGGCCCTGGGGGCCAGCGAGACTCTTGGCAGTGCTCCACGCGTGGCCTTCTACGAGGGTATGCGCCGGGATGTCCAGCAAGACTTGAGCTTCTGCGGCCAGGACTCGCTCTCGCAGCTGGACATTGATGTGTTCCTCTACGCCACGGTCATCCAGACACACAGCCGCTTGGCCAGCCAGCGCGAGAGCTACGACAGCTGCAATCTGGGTAATATCAGTGCGTCGGCGCGGCCCCACATGCTGCCCTACGCCAATGTGCTCAGCCAGTTGGCCACGCCCGAGCAGAGCAGCTGGTGGGATATCGTTCTGCGCTCGCACAAGAATCAAGTGTCCGACTGCAGTCGGGGCGAGCAGCGTGCCCAGATCCAGTTGGGCCTGGAGGCGGTACGCGGCGTGAATGGCACCAAGGCGGATACCATCATACTCCTCAAGCTGGGGGCCATTCTGTGCTCGCGCCAGGATCGAGACGCGCTCGAGCGTCGCATCGACACCCTCTACAAGCAGAGCTTCAGCATGTTGCGCCGCGAACAGCAGCATGGCGGAGTCGGCCAAGAGCACTATCCGCGATTCTTCAAGCTCGCCTCGGCCAACTCAACGGAGGCTTTTCAGGAACGGCAGCGCCTGGCCGAAGAGGCTGTCTCGTACTTCAGCTCGAAGATGTTCAAGGCGCATCAGTATCAGCAGTTTATCGACGAGGTGCGCGGCCTGAATCTGCCGATGGCCACCTACCTGCAGGCCGAGGCGTATCGCATACTGGAGCATTCCAGCCAAATCAACAGGGACGCCAAAGCGCGCTACTGGGAGCGCCGGAGGGACTGCCTGCAGCAGACACAGCAGCTGCTCCGCAGCCATATAAAGCACCCGCTCGAAGGGATCATCCGCAGCGAGGTGGGACGCTGCGAGGAGGATCGCTGCGGTTCGAACTACGATGTCTATGCCTCGCCGGATACCCACAACAATTCGTCGAGCTACGAGGATGCTGAGGATCCGGATTTCTATTCGGGTGCTTCGCTCACTCTCAACCGTTCCCGGCGACATCTGGAGCAGCCGCCTGCTGCTTCTTCCCCGAGGTACACACCAGCTCGGGGCACGCCATCCACTGCGGCCACAGCGGCCACACCGCTGGCCTCCAATGCGAAATTAAGTCAGCTGGAGGAGACTGTCAATCAGATGAGCAAGTCCCTGTGCCAGTTTAAGGACGATGTGAGCACCGGCATCGACGATATGCGTCAGGAGATCAAGAACCTAACCGAAAAGTTCACCGGCATCGAGGATATGATCAAGAAAATGAAGATTACACACAGGGAAACGCCCACCCGAGATGTGGACACGGCCACGGCCCTCGGTCTGGACGATCTCTTCATCATTGAGGAGCTCGACGCACAGCAGCAGCAGCAGCAGAGCCAGGCAGCGGCGGCAGCGGCAGTGCAGCAGCAGCAACAGCAGCAGGTCTTGGCTTCAAATTATGGGGCACCCAATCCGGGTGGATTTTTCAATGGCCTTCCGGCCATACCCTCACCACAGGATCGATTCCTGCAGGGCGCCTATGGCAGTCCAATGTTCAACCAGAATCAGCTCTACAATTATTATGCGGCCCAGGCGCAGCATTATATGCGCACGCCCCCGGCCCCTGGAACGTTGCCGCCTCTGAGTATTTTTGGTAAGTGCGAGTATCCAGTTGTGTCCACAATTCTACACCATATATGATTATTCCATCAGTTATTTGTAGAGCATTCCATTGCAGAATTAATATTCATTTCATATATATTTATGTACAAGTACAAAAGCTGTTTGCTATGACAATTTTAAAGCCAAATGCTATAAAACTGTTCAATCTGGCAGCTATGAAACTCTTAAAGTCTTAAAGTTGGTAGTTTTAGAGCTGTCTGCTATAAAACTCTTAAAGTCTTAAAGTTGGTTGTTTTAGAGCTGTCTGCTATAAAACTCTACTCTAAAAGTTGTTTGCTATAAAACTTCAAAAGCTGTCTGCTATGAAACTGAACAAAAATTGAAGCTGAAATTAGATTATAGCTCTATAGCTCCCTGCTTGAACACCCAGAAAGCTGTCTGCTATGAAACACACTTAAAAGCTGCTTGCTTTGAAACTGTATAGTCCTTGTCGTTCCATTATCCTCAAAAGCATTCACAAATTCCAATCTCAATGAAATATATCATCTATAATGTCATCTGCAGGACCACAAAATCCAAACTTTGCTGGAATACCAGGAATTTTCCCACCGGCACCCGCCGTGTCCACGCCCAGATCCTACCTGGAACAGTCCGGAAACTTTGGACAAACGCCTCCCAGTCTGATTCCACCACACGCCCCAGTTCCAGTTCCAGTCCCAGCAGCAGCACCGCAGCAGCTACCAGCCCCGGCCATAGCTCCACATCTACCGGTGGAGCCTCCCAAGCCAGTTGGAGGTGGAGTACTTGCGCCTCCTGGCGCTGGATTCTTCAACTCATCCGCGCCCGTATTTATGCCGTCGCCCATTCAGGTGCCGCAGGCAAAGCCGCCATTGGGTGTGCCTTCAGTGGTGGCTCCTCCAGTGGCTGCAGCTCCACTGGCAGCCCCTGTCGTCGCACCACAGTCGTCATGCGCTGTGGCCGCACCGGCCATTCCATCCTTGTTCAATCGCGCTCTGAACAACCAGCCCGTGGAGAAGGAGCCACCGGCTAATGTGGTCATCACCAGCTCCGATCCGCTGCCCAAACCGCCCACAGTCGCTGGGGTTCAGCCCACACTCAGCGTGACGATTCCTGCACAGCATATCAAGCCCAGTCTGGTGCAGAACGCGGAACAGCAGCCACAGCAGCAGCAACAGCCACAGCAGCAGCAGCCACAGACAGCAGCAACGGTCAGTGCGCTGCCAGCGACTGTCCCAACAGCTGCCGTGACAGCAACTAGCAGCGGAGTGTTCAACTTCAGCTTTGGCACCAGCAACGCGGAGAGTCCGTTCTCCTTCAAGACGCAGGTGGCCAAGGCCGCTGCCGAGAAGCAAAAGGAGCAGGAGGCCGAACAGGCCCAGGCCCTGCTCCTCAATGAGAGTGCCAAGAGTGCGGCGAGTGAGCCAAACAAGAGTGCGGGCGCCACAGATGCCTCACTGGAGCTGGACTACGATCCGCGTCCGGACTTCCAGCCCATCATACCGCTGCCCGATGAGATTGAAGTGCGCACCGGCGAGGAGGACGAGGAGGTCAAGTTCTGCTTCCGTGCGAAGCTCTTCCGCCTGGTGAATCACGAGTGGCGGGAGCGTGGCATTGGTACCATTAAGATACTCAAGAACCAGGCCACCGGCGTCTCGCGCATCCTCATGAGACGCGAGCAGACGCACAAGGTCTGTGCCAATCACAAAATCAATAGTGAGATGTCCCTGGCCACACCCCAAGGCGACACGGAGAAAAAGTCATTCATTTGGGCGGCCAATGACTATGCCGATGAGGAGCTGGTCGCCGAGACGTTCCTCGTGCGATTCCGGTCCCCCGAGACGGCCACAGAGTTCCACGATGCGTACGCTGTGGCACGTCTGGAGGATGCCAAGCTAGCCGCAGCTACCCCAGCTGCAGTACCCGAGGTGCCCAAGGCAGCTGCAGCTTCAGTTCCAGCACCAGCATCAGCACCAGCACCAGCTCCTGCTCCTGTCAAAGATGTGTCCAAGAGCTTTGTGACCAGCACACCAGCCGCCACCAATTCATCGTTCGGCAAACCCTTTGAGCCGTCCAAGATGAAGCTCTCGGAATCGCTGGCGGCTCTGGCTGCTCCAGCCACCGTCAATCCAACCTCCTCGACGGCAGTGGCCAAATCTTTGTTTGGCGGACAGCAGCCTGCTGCTTCCACTTCCACGCCCACGGCAGCCGCCGCGCCTCCGACAGTGCCGCCGTTTGCCAGCTTTAGCTTTGGCCAGCAGGGATCGGGGCCAACGTCCTCGCCATTCGGCAATTTGTCCTTTAACAACCTGTCCTTTGGCGGCGTCTCGGCTGTCAACAATAATGCGAGCGGCAACAACAGCACCTTGTTCACCACGGCCCTGATCCAGGAGAGCACCCTGCAGGGCCAGCAGCAGCAGCAGCCCGAAGCCGAAGCCGAGGCCGAGGCCGTGGATGAGTACGAGCCGACGGCACAGTTTGCCCCAGTCATACCCCTGCCCGAGCTGGTGAAGGAGATCACTGGCGAGGAGGACGAGGATGTGCTGTTCGAGCATCGGGCCAAGTTGTTGCGGTACTTCGAGGGCGAGTGGAAGGAGCGCGGCCTGGGGCCCATGAAGCTGCTGCGCAACAGGAAGGATCCCAGCCAGGTGCGCCTCGTGATGCGACGCGAGAAGGTGCACAAGACGTGCTGCAACCAGCGGCTGCTGCCCGAGACCACATTCAAGTATCTCATCAACTCGACCACGGCACTAACCTGGGCAGCACAGGACTTTGCCGATCAGGAGCTGGAAGAGGCGACGCTGTGCGTGCGATTCAAGAAGCCGGAGACATGCAAGGAGTTCCTTGATGCGGTGCTAAAGGCACAAAAGGAAATTGCAGAGTTGGAATCATCCACCACCAGCACCACCACCAGTGCCAAGAAGGAGGTGGAGCAGGTGGCTGTCGCAGCAGCAGCAGCAGCCGCACCCAGCAAAGGCTTTGGCGATGCCTTCAAGCCCAAGGCTGGCAGCTGGAGCTGCGAGGCCTGCTACACGAGCAATGGCCAGGATCAGCTCTACTGTCTGTCCTGCGAGGGTCCCAAGGATGCGACAGTGCCGCCCAAGCAGCCAGCAGGCTTGGATCAATCGAATGCCCTGAATCTATCGACCAGCAATGCGGGCAAGTTCTCATTTGGCTTTGCACCCGCCACAACGGCGGCAGCCCCAGCAGCAGCTACCCTTTCCTCGGGCTTCATTTTCGGAGCCAAGCCACAGTCAACGGAGAAGCCAGCAGCAGCTGCTCCAGTGGCAGCCACATCCTCGGCTCCTGCCGCATTGCCCGGCAAATCATCTGGATTTGGCGATGCCTTCAAGCCCAAGGCTGGCAGCTGGTCCTGCGGCAGTTGCTATCTGAGCAACACGGGCGATGCCCTCTACTGCAGCGCCTGCGAGGCGCCCAAGGATGACACAGTGCCCAAGAAGGAGAGCAACGCCCTGGGCTCATCGTCGGGCCTCATCTTGCCGGCAACTACAAAGTTTAATTTCGGCTTTGGCGCAGCTCCAGTTCCAGCAGCTGCTTCTGCTGCACCACCAACTGTGGCAGCGGATAGCAAGGAGGGAGAAGCACCCAAGAGTGTGTTTGGATCGTCCAGCTTCAGTTTTGTGCCCAAAACATCTGCGGCGACGGCCGTAACTACCCTGGGATTTGGCACCTTTAGCTTCACGATGCCCAAGCCCGCACAGCAGCAGCCGAAGAGTCCCGGCGGCGGGGAACAGCGAACAGCCAATGATAACGGGGAGGACAACGATTCGGAGCCGGAGGAGGAGGAGAACCAGTCGTATTTTGCACCAGTAATCCCATTGCCGGATAAGGTCGATGTCAAGACTGGCGAGGAGGACGAGGAGGTGCTCTATGTGCAGCGGGCGAAGCTTTATCGCCTCACGGACGAGTGGCGCGAGCGGGGCGTGGGCAATGTGAAGATACTGCGCCACAGGCAGACGGGCAAACTGCGAGTGCTGATGCGACGGGAGCCGATCTTCAAGGTGTGCCTCAATCACGCCCTTAGCTCGAGTGTGGCCTACAAACCCAAGGACGAGCGCTCCTGGCTGTTTGTCGTGCACGATTACAGCGAGGGCGAAAGCGTCAACGAGCGTTTCACGCTGCGCTTCAAGAACAAGGGCATTGCCGATAACTTCCTGAGGGTCGTGAAGAGCGCCCTCGATGGCACCGCCACAGCCATCGTTGAGGAGCAGAACACAACAGCTGCACCTGAGATTGACAGCTCCACATTGATTTCGCAGGAGACCAAATCCCTGGTCGAGGAGTTGCTGGCCGAGGACCATGAATCCTCGATTGCTTCAGCGTGCGCGGGCTGTCGGGGATGCGATCCAGATACGTTTGACTGGCATAAGCAAAGCTCAGCCACCCCAATTACCCCAATTGTGGATGATGTGAGTCCTCCATTGCCCATGCACTTGCCAGCACTCAAGCTGCCGCGCGCCGCAGATCCGCTCGCTGTTCCACAGCTGGGAGGCTCCATCTTTAGAGCCAGTTCGCTGGCGAGCGCCGACAGCAGCGGCTTTGGTGGCTTTGGCCAGGCAGTGTCTGCCAATTCCACGGCGGCTCCCACTGCAGCTGCTGCCCCGCCCAGCAAGCCAGAGGAGAATAACGCAACGAATGCATTCGTTTTTGGCAGCACAGCTACAGGTAAGTCTTGATCCCCAGTTAGCATCTCCTTAAGATTTCAATGAATGAATGATTTCCTCTCCACAGAGAAAACAATCTTTGGCCAGACTTTGTTTGGGGCTGGCAAACCCCAGGAGCAGCAGCCGTCGCAGTCGATCTTCAGCAGCGGCCAGGGCAATGTTCTGGGCTCCATTTTTAGCAGCGGCATTGCCGAGTCCAAGGATCAGAGTGCCAAGTCCATATTTGGTGGAGTTGGCGGCATACCCGAGGCACACAAATCCATATTCGGAGGCGTAGCCAAGGCGGAGAACGTGTCGGCGGCGCCCAAGACTATTTTCGGTGGCACAAACACCTCGGTGTTTGGCGGTGGATCATCTGAGTATGTGTTTGGCAGTGCAGCCAGCACTGAGGCTCCCGCTTTTGGCCAAAATGCCATCACATTTGGAGAGCTGGGAAAGCCGTCACCACCCGCAGACAAAGAGACGGGAGAGAGCAACGAACAGAAGAAGGACAACAACACACCCAAGTCGGCATTCACTTTGGCTTTTGGTGACACGAAGGCGGCTTCCTCGCCTGCTGCTGCTGGTGGTGGTGGTGGTGCTGTGGCAAGTCCCAGTTTGGCGGATCTGGCTAGCAAGGCTGGTGGCGATGATTTTGCCAGCTTGTCCGCGAAGAATCAGGGCACACCCATGGGCTTCAATAAGTCGGGCACTGGCGGCGGCTTCTACAATCTCACGCATCAGAATGACTTCAAAAACTTCCAATCGCCGCTCTCGCAGCGGGGCAACAACACGACGGGTGGCGACGCCGAAACAGATGGCGATGGTGGCGATGGGGATGCCACAAACAATGATAACTACGATCCCTACTATGCGCCCATTGTTGATCTGCCGGATGAGATCGTTGTGAAGACGGGAGAGGAGGATGAGACTAAGCTGTTTGGCGAGCGTTCGCGGCTCTACCGCTTCGATACGAACACAAAGGAATGGAAGGAGCGAGGTACGTATCCGCACACTTAACAATATTTCGCAGCATGCTGTAACCCCCCACCCTTTGTGGCAGGTACTGGCGAGCTGAAGATCTTGGAGCATCCGCAATTGCAGTCCTATCGCTTGCTCATGCGACAGGAGCTCGTGCCCAAGGTGCTGCTCAACATGAAGATTGTCGGCGACATGAAGCTGGCCCCTATGCACGGCCAGAAGAAGAGCTTCTCGTGGTACGGCCTCAACTACGCCGCCGATGCGGAGGGCAAGACGTCCATGGAGGGCGTGGTTGAGCAGTTGGCCTGTCGGTTCGGCAAGCAGGACATAGCGGATGAGTTCGTCGAGAAAATCAACCAGTGCATAAAGCGCGCCGGCGAGGGCTCAGCGCAGCACCAGGAAACCCCGCAGACTGAGGATTAAACACTCAAGTTAAACAATAGAGTCTATAAGTTAGTTCTTTCGGAAACTGTTAAATAAATTCATCATTTTCATTCTTTAATGTAACTCTCGAAATTTTGCAAGTGAATTTTGTACGTGCTCCCGCGCCCGCCACACGACAAAGGAATCGTGAGCGACATTTGGCCACGGGCTGGGCAAATGTGTAACCATTGGAGCGTTGGAGCGGCCTTCTCTTGCATTTCCTGGGCTAAGGCAACTAGCTGACTCACCAGCACCAGGAGCAGCGTACAGCCGGAGATGTTTGGTCGCATCTCCAGCGTTGCCACCAGCGGATGCTTGTCCAGGCAGTGCCCCAGTCGTTGCAGGCAGGTACTCTCAGGGGGCCCCAGTACTTGCAGGCAATGTTGTTGCTCTCGGTCGGCGGGCGGCACGGCTCAACAGGCGCTGAACACACCTCCACCCCGAAGGCACTGGGAACGCACATGTGGAAGTCCTCGTAGACTCGCGGCTTTTGTTGCTTCGCCTGGCAGTTCAGTCGCTCCAGTTGGCAACTGAAAGCAGACACGGCTGTGATGATCGGCCCAGCCATCGTTGCTCACAGCAAAACTCCGAATGGGAGCCAAGACCGGAGGAGTTTCGGTTTCGCGACGAGCTGAACACATTGACTGCTTGCCAATGGACGTGTCGGACGAGGGAGCTGTTTGTGTTGTTCGAAATTTTGGTATTAAAAATAAAATATATAAAAAAGCAAAAGGAAAATGTGTCAAATGTGCGCACAAAGGCTTTGTGCTGTCAACAACGTAATTCAAATAACAAAGTTTATTTTTTACGCCCACAGCTAGGACTGCATCCATTGCTGCTGCTGCTGCTCCGTTGGAACAGCAGTTAAACGTGCAATAAATAGTTTTCAAATAATTTTTAAAACATTTCAGTTTGGATCGACTATTTCGGCCTCTGTGTTAGTGTTTGTTGTTTCTTCAGTCTTCTTTTTATGCGTTTTCGAACGAAAATGAGTTCTCAGGTTGGACATTCGATTGAAGGCCACATCGCAGATTTCGCAGCTAGTGGGAATACATTTTAACGATTCAATTGACTTGGGGAAGGGAGGGATAGAAAATGGTTTTGCTTTACCGAAATGGACGATCGCCAGAGTGCACCACTTCGTGCTTCCGCAAGTTGCTCATGCTGTTGCACCTGTGCGGGCAAAAGTTGCAAGCATACGGTTTATCTGTCCTTTCAGGCTTCAGCCCCTCGTGAATCCTAACAGAAACCAAATTAGGTCAGTACTTTCTAGTGCAAATTATTGAATAGCTTACCTCTGATGGCGATAGCGCTTGTTGCTGCAAACAAAATGTTGATCGCAGTACTTGCAGGTGTATGGCGCCTCTTTTCTGTGCTTCACGCGAATGTGCATCTTCAACAGAAACTGGCTGTACTCCTTGTGGCTGCACTCCGGGCACTGAAACTTTCTTATGCCCGTGTGGCGTACCAAATGCAAATTCAGATTTCCCTTGTCGTTGAAGTGCTTGCCGCATTGATCGCAAATATAGTTTTGATTAACCCGATTCTGGCGCTTCCTTCGTTTTCTCTCAGCATCTTTTGAGGCAGGAAGCGAGGCAGTGCCCTCAGCAGTATTAAGAATTTCCGTCACCTCAATGGACGGATCAGGTGCTGCAACTGGGGAAGGCAACGTGTCCGCCGTGGGGCTGTCGCAAGAATTATGTCGCGAAGAATGTTCGCTGCCAATGTCCGTTTCTTGCGATCTGGTCGTTGCTTTTTCCATTGTTATGGCAACCACGGGCTTGGCATCTGAAATTTGATCGTCCTCACATTTTATATCAAGTTGCAAGCCTTCCTCATGGCCCAGTGGGTCGTCTAGATCTCTCTTTAGGGCAACATCATCCGACGGGAACACTCCGCATCTGCCCTGCGTCAGCACATTGTGCGTCGTGATGCACCGCTCCCGGAACAAGATGGCGGTGTTCAGATCCATTAGGCAGCAAGCGCATATACTCCTGGGCATATCCAGCTGGTCAGTTATCTGTCAGAAATTTACTTTAGCACAGAAAACAATCCGGAGGGACCCAGGCCCCGACTTACCCAGATGCCAGTCAGAAAGGAAATCTTCCTCACAATATCGTTGTCCCCATCAAACAGATTTGTTGCATTCAAGCTGTACACTGTCTCGCCGCAGGTTCGACACCGCAGCGACATTTTTTTGCGCCCAATTTATCCCCCCAGCAATGCAGCTTTATTTAATTTGTTGTTTTAATATGTTATCCAGTGCTGCCAACTTATGATCAGGGAAAAGGCCGTTTGGACAAAAGAAAAATAGCTGAAAAAATCAAGCCAAAAAAAGCGCGAAATTTATGGGTTTACTAATTTGTTTTTGCATGGAAGTGATGGTTTGCTTTAAATTAGTGGTAAGGTAGCACATTTCATGTAAATGTGGAATCATTAAAAGAGCGTAAACAAGCCAACGTATTTCAAAACAAAACAAGAATACCCGCTTCAAAAAAGCCAGATTTTACGGGGAAAGAGCGGACTTGGCAGCACTGATTTACAGCAACAAGCAAAATAAACATTTTTAATTTTATGGACAAGTTAGTTCCGAGATGTCGCTTCTGTGTCGAACTTGTGGGGAGCTCGCAATAAGTCCAAGGCGACTCTTTGACAAGAAGGGCGCCGACGTATTAAACGACATCCTTAAACTGACGGGCATCTGGGTAGGAAGAAATCCGTGAAAAACATTGGATGTATGCATATCGATACAATCACTAAATTGAGTTCAATTTCAGCTTACTAAGAGGGTAGGATACCCCTCGCATATATGCTCCATTTGCCTGCAACAATCAAATGAAGCCATGGCATTCAGGGAGCTTTGTATAAGAACCAACCACGCTTGGTACGAAACAGGAGATGCGGCCGACTCCAAGAGGGCTGATGACGCTGTGCACCTGGACCCACTAATTGGAAACGATGAGGCGGCGACACCTGAAGAGAGCAAAGGATATGTCACATTGGAAATTGAAACTCTGTGTGACGAACGAAAGTCTGCAAGTCCTTTGAGCCTTCATGGAGAACCCGATTCATTGTATGCTCGCAAGACAGCTTCGTCGCGTCGTCCCAGGAATGTATCAAATCTGCGTCGAAAAGCTGCGAAGGAACAATCTGAGGAAATTGCTAATGATGGCGAGTGTCTTGATGAGCTCTTGGACTTCGACCCCCTCATAAATGAAGATGCTCAGCTTGTCGTTGAGGAGGAGAATCACGAGGATGAAAACGTTATAAAAAGGACTTTGTCGGAGTTCAAGTCACGATTAGATTCGTGCTCTGTTCCTAAGAAAGAAGTATTGCGTGGTTCCAGGAAATTAAATCAAGAACCAGTTCTGAAACGTGAAGGAGATATTACAAAGAAGAAGCGGTATAGCAGAGCCAATGGTGGTTATTACTGTGACCAATGCGGCAAATGGTTCAAGTACAAAAGCAATCTCAATGTACATTTGACGCGACACACGGGCGTCAAGCAATTTGAATGCAAGGACTGTGGGCGCAAGGAGTTCACTATGCACCTTTTGAGCCTACACATACGAGTCAAACACAAAGGGGAACTGCCATACTCTTGCAAGTACTGTGGACAGGGCTTTGACAACTGCATCAAACGTTTAAACCATGAAAGGTGCGTAATTAATTCATTGTGAGTCTGAGACCAACCACTGATTGCATTTTCCTCAGGCGGCACAAGGAGTGCCCCGATATTCGACCACACGTCTGTGCTGTTTGCGGAAAAGCCTTCAAACTGAAGGGAGTCTTAAGGGCGCATGAGATTGTGCACACGGGCGAACAGCCATTCCAGTAAGTTGCCAAACACCTTTTATTCATACACACACTATATTTGTACATGCCTTTTTATCCATTATCCACAGCTGCGAGATCTGCGACGTACACTTTAACCGAAAATCGAGCTTACAAACCCACAACCGATCGAAGCAGCACATCAAAAATGTTGGTCAGGATAAAAGCAAAACACAGTTGGATGTATTTATGGACGAGGATGCGTAACGGCAACCAGTTTTAGATAAAAGATCCTTCATTTCGTGTGTGTTTCAATGGTCTAATGTTATCCATGCAAAAAGTGCATCAATAAAAATAAGACAATATTTTATTTTATTCATCATCATCAATAAGAGAATCAGTGAAATCAAAATCAATGTCGTCGTCTACCTCTTCCTCTATTTCTTCGTACTCGTAGGCATCTTCATCTTCATTTTGATTTTGAAGTCTGTTTTCCCTAGTCCGATGGTACTTGGTCAAATAATGCCCGCGCAGGAATATGGCCTCCTTGAACTCCTTGTCGCAAGTTTCGCAGCTGCAAAGGAAGAGTTGGTGCGTTAATTTTGACACATTTTCTATTGGTTTATAGAAACCTACTAGAATTTGCCCGTTCCCCCGCCTTTGTGTAGCTCTGCATGCTTTGCCAGCCCCACTTTGCTGATGAATCTCTTGCCACAATCGGCGCAAACGAATGGCAAGTCGGTTGAATGGTATCTCCTGCGGAAACAGAAAAATTCATTAAAGTATAAATAATTATATAGCTATAAGAGAGTGCTTACCGCTCATGCCGGCAGCGACTAGGACTATTGTTGAACGCCATGCCGCAGTATTTGCAGAGGAAAGGCTTCTCCCCGTTGTGTTTGACGCGAACATGCATTTTGAGCTGCGGGGCCGTGTAGAAGTAGGAGCCGCATTCATCGCAAAAAAATTTTTTCGCAGAGTGCCGCAACTTGTGGTCTCTCATGTTGCTTAGGTCGTTAAAGGCCCAGCCGCATTGGTCACACACATATTTCTTCTCCAAGCAAATAGCCCTTTTCCTCTTCTTTCTTGGTGGAACAAGCTCCATCCGCAAGGCTTCCTTTGGCACTGGTAATCCTTTTGGGAGGACTTGGTGGCGTGACTTGAGCAGGCGTGGAAGTCGCGCTGGTTCCTTCTGGCATGCGGCAGCGCTTAACCACTACACGGGGGTAATCGCTTCTGGGACTCGGGACTATTTTCTTTATTTCTTTGGGTTCTTGCGGTGCCAATAATACATGTCTTTTCTCATCCTCCGGCTCGGAGAACTCTTCACTGAAAGCGTCTTCATCATCGGTGCCATCCGTGGGCGGCACAGTTTCATCCAATGGGTCTCGGGGTTCATCCTTCTGCACAGGATTGCGTGCTCCGGCTGCCTTCAGCTGCAGACGCTTGTGCGTTTTTAGGCAACGCTCGCGAAACACTATGGCCTGGTTCAGGTCCAGCAAACAGCAGGAACAAATATGCGTTGGTAGATTTTCGTCAAACTCAAACTGCAAGTTTCAATAGAGATATTTTTGTTCTGTTCTTAAAGGTAGTTCTCGTCTCGTGTCTTACCGGAATGCCAGTGAGCTGCTTGATTCTCAGCAGTATTTCCGAGTTTTCCTTTTCGAAGATGTTCTTCGGATCGGAAATAAATATCTGCTCGCCACATGCTCTGCATTCCCAATCCATTTAAGCAAGTTATAACCTTTTTCTTTTTTGTAAATTGTTGTCAAAGAAATAACAAAAAGCAGCTGTGCGGCGTTCTTCTTCCGATTCTTCTTCTTCTCTGATTTGGCATTCAACTGCAGAATTACATGCAGTGCTGCCAAATCCGCTGTTTTCCCGTAATCTGGCGGTTTTTTTTTAGAACAACTGCGGGAAAAATTTGGGAACTGCCGGAAGCTGACCAGAATTCGTTTTCTGCTATTTTTTATGTTGCCAAATTTAGATCCAATTTGCTACTCAACCACTAGCTTTAAGTTTGCTTAATTATCTTCATGTAAAAACTCTATTAATTATTTTACTGGACAGTAAACCCACGCGTTTTTTTTTTAGCTTTGTCTGGTATTTTTCAGCCGGTTTTGTCTCTTCTCCAATTTAGAAACGGCTTTTTTCCTGAAGAAAAGTTGGCAGCACTGATTACAACTGTGAATGGCAACAATTTGTTGATTTGATTTGAGTCGCAAATTATGTTCGAGTGGAGACAACGGCTTTGCCGCACTTGTGGCACCCACATAGATGAATCGAGTGCCACTCCACTTTTTGAGGGGGAGAACTACCCCATGGTCATTATAATTGAAAATATCACCGATATGTATGTAAGTTGAAGATCCTGTAAAATTCGTTTTTTTTTTTTTTTGGATCGAAACGTTTAATCTGTATCCTGTGTCCTTCAATTACATAGTTGGATAAGGCGCATGATATGCCTGAGCTGATATGTCAAGGATGCAAGCGGGACCTGGAGAGGTTCCTGGAATTCCGTACAAAGTTCATGGCCAATAATGAATTTCTGCAGTACAAAAGGAACGCACTCGAACTGCAGGCATTTGACAGCGCTAATGATCTGATCGCCGCCGTTAATATTGAGGACGAGTCGCAGGTCGCTGCTGTAAAAGTGGAGGATAAAGAGATTTACGATGAGCCGCTGCTCGAAGTTAAAACCGAAGAGAATACAATGGACAACGACGATGTTGCTGTGAAGGATGAAGGAATGGACAACAATGCTGATGAGCCGCTGCTCACCGCCATCAATATCGAGGATAACACGATGGACAACGAGGCTGTGGAGTCTCTGCTCTCCGCCCTTAATATTAAAGATAAGGAATTGGACGAAAATGTCGAGTACAAAGATATGGATGATTATGCTGTGGAGTATCTGGTCACCGCCGATGAAGTCATACAGAACCATGGGGATGTGTCGCCGCCGCTTGTTCCACCCGATAAAGGCGAAGAAGGAAAGGATGTGGATGATGATGATGATGATGAAATTTCCAATCCAACGCCCACTTCTACCATCAAAAAGAAATCCAGGCCCACGAAGAAGAGTGACAAAACTTGGATCTGTCACATTTGCGAGGGCGAGTACAAGTGCTCGACCTACTTAAAATTGCATATGATGCGGCACTCTGGCAAGAAGGAAATTGAGTGTGACATTTGCCATGCCAGGTACTACACGGCTCCCGAAATGCGCCGTCACAGGATCCTGCACACGGATGCACGACCCTATGCCTGCCGCTACTGCAACAAAACTTTTCGCGGCTGCAGCAGCAAGGTTGTGCACGAGAGGTACATACGCTACACACAACCGTTTATAGGTGTATTCTAATCTGGGCTTATCCTTGCAGGAGTCATACCGACGAGCGTCCTTTTGCATGCCAATACTGCGACAAGTCGTTCAGGTCCACCTCCGCTCGTCGTAGGCACGAAAGAGTCCACACCAACACCCGCAACTATCAGTATGTGTGTTGTGGCAGCAAGTCCCTTAATGTAGTTCCAGCGATTTCTCTTGCAGCTGCGAGCTGTGCGATCTGTCGTTTCTGCGTTGCTCCCACTTGACGAAACACAAGAACACCAAGATACACAAACGCAAAATGGCTGTCGCCATGGACGACTAACGGGAATTGATTACAACATGGGCTAAGCTTTTGTTTGCGCTTCTGGGTGAATGGCGCTTTGCTTTTTTCTCAAGTCTGGGGAATGGGAATTTGGGAATTTTATGATTTGCCATTGTTCTCGTCCTAGTTTCAGTATTTTGCGTATGCTATGAAGATGTTTTGCAGAACTTGTTCGCGGCAGATAGTTGATTCTGCAGCGAGATGCCTTTTCGAGGCCCCTAGTAACGGTCTGCTTGGAAAAATCGAAACATTAACTGGCCTGCTCGTGAGTACAAAAGGAGGGTGAAATTTGCAGTTTCAAGTTCTTAAGGTGGTTTTTATTTAAAAGCTGAAAAGTGATGAGAAATTGCCACAACTCATGTGCCAGCAATGCGCGCAGGATCTACAGGCTGCATTCGAATTTCGCAGAGTTTGCATTGCGGTTCAGGAACGGCTGGAACTTGAGCTCGAGCAGGAGATGGACTCTCCACTGCTAAAGGACAACGACGATATTGATCAAAGTAACGTAGAAAGCGAGCCTGAACTAGTACCAAAGGAATACGTTGTAGAAATATCGTCCATTATCGAGGATTATCAGATCCAAGAGGAGAGCGGTAGCGATCCAAGTTCCCTGAATGGAACTATTGTCCAAGAAGAGGCCAATAATGACATGGATGCAGAGAAACATTCGTGCAACATGTGTGGCCTACGCTTTGCAAGCAAAGTCGAGCTCAGGAAGCACCAGTACCAGCTACATGATGTAGTTCCAGCCGGCAGGAAGTTAATTAAGTTGCTCGTTCTCTAGCCAAACGTTTCTAATGCTGATTCTTTGCAGATTCGATTGCAGCCATTGTGGGAAAAGTTTTCCCATTGCCTCTCGGCTGACTAAACACCTCCGTAGCATTGGGGCCGAGTTGGCGCATGACTGCCAAAAGTGCGGGGCAAAGTTTTACAGCCAAGTGCTGCTGGACAACCACACGGATCGACGCCACAAACCACCCCAGGAGAAACATGTCTGCCACCTATGCGGACAGACGCTGGCCACTCGCTTCAGTCTACAGAGTCACCTGGTGCGCCATGCCGGCACTAGACCCCACAAGTGCCAGCAATGCAGTGCCTCTTTTTCAACGGCTGCGGAGCTCTGTTCCCACGACAGAAAGCACACGGCTGTGCGTCCATACCCATGTCGGTATGAATGCGGGAAAGATTTTCGGTACTGTAGCGCCCGCAGCATACACGAAAGGTATGAAGCACCTCCATCTGATATTTTCTCATCTAAAGAGAGTACTTCCTTGCACAGGACTCACATGGATGAGAGCCAGCGTCCCTTCCGCTGCGAGTACTGCAGCAAGTCCTTCGTGACCAGGGGAGACTGCAGGTCCCATCAAATACAACACACCATGAGCCGCGAACACAGGTACACAACACAGACGCACTTTAATGCTTCAATAAATCTGTAATCTTTCCCTTCTTTCAGCTGTAACATCTGCAGGTTAAGATTCAAGCTTAGGAAACATTTTTTGGCCCATCTGAAATCGGGGGGCCACAAGACCCTGGAAGCGCGAGACAAAGCTTTAAAACGAAACGCATTAGGCCCACTTTCTGTTGAATCAAAATTAAAATGAAATACAAGGCCGTGGTAAAGGATCTCCTTTACGATGAGGAGAACGCGGTGTCCAATGGCAAGAAATTATAGGCCCTTGGTGAATCCTCAGGCCGATGATTTCATGTTACATAAATGTAATCTATAAAAAAATAAAGTTAGATAATCCTGTGGAGATTTCAGCAGAATTTCTTCGCAGAATTTGGCCTTGTGAAAACTTTCCATAAAATCAGCAGATCACACGCTCCCCCGTAATGACTTTTGCATTACACTTTTGCATACATTCTATTTTGTTTATTTAATCATATTATATATCATGCCAGAGGTATTCATATTTCATGTTTGTCTGCCGCCTGAGGAGCGACAGGGTGGTTCGTGTTCGTTTCGACAATGTCGTACAATTAAACAAACATTATCACAATCTTACGCAGGTATACAAGACATTTAGCTAGTTCAATTTGTTGGGGCCACCTGCACTAGGAGACGCAGAAAAGTACTAGCTAGCTAGTGCGAGCACCCGTCTCCCCATGGAGAGCCATCGTCAATCGGTGTGAATCTTATGATGATGCAATAAATAGAGTTACAAATCGCTTAGGTGTAGGATACGGTGTTTGCCACAGATGTTGAAAGGCTGTTTTTGAGTGGCCGCATAACAATCAGAAATGATCTTTAGTTAGTCAGTGGCTTGGAACTAAAATGAGAAATCAAAATAGGAGGGGGGAAGTGTGAGAAACATAAAACGATGGGATAATGAAATAAGTATTCCGGACACACCGCGAATTCTGTGTGTGTGTGTGTGTGTGGGGTTTGTGTGCCAGCGACTTACAAAATACATCGACTATAACTACAGCTACAGATTAATTAAGTGGGAGGGCTAGCATTACTTTTCCTTGGGCTGCTTGTCGAACAGGTACTCCTTGGCCATTGTGTACGCCAGTCCCGCTGTCAGACAGCCCACGACGGTGCCCTGGGCCGCCACACGAAGCTGCATCAGGAATACGCTGGTGCTCATGGTGCCACGGTTCTTGTACTTGTAGGCGCCAATTAGTCCCGCCGCCACGAATCCCGCAATGCCTGTGGATGAGTGGTTAAAAGGTATTTTCCGATTAGCTTTGTTCCATTAAATTACAAATAACGGCTGTTTTTGTTGTTGCTACCCGCCTGCCCACTACCTAGGGTCTAGTCAGCGTCTGCTGATAAATGCCAGACGGCCGTTGACGCACACACAAACATACACAGATGTGAATTTTAGCACGCGCCAAGGTTCAGATGGCCGCAACGTCACCGATGTGCTAATATCATTTCCCGCTGTCTTTCGAAGAGTTCCTTTTGCATTTCCGAATTACTGTATCAGCCGTGAGTGTTGCATCATTCGCTTTCCAGACGAACAGCGGATCATTAACCGTTATGTCACTACCTAGCGAGGGATCCTCCCACTTAACGTATTCTATTTAAATTTTGGCGAATTTTTCAAACACACAAATTACATGGTCAAGGTCGAGACTCGTCTAAATTGGTGCACGCACTATCAGCCTGCTTGCGCGAAAAGTTTCCACCTGACGTCACGGATGTTCGTTTACTCACCGACTAACATAAACGGCGATTCCTTGGCCTTCCTGGAAAATTTGTTGGCCTGTTCAGCATCGTCCTCGACAAAAAAGGACTTGGAGCTCATGTTGAACGCAGGTATTAATTAATTTAATAAAAAATTCAAGAGATACACGTCCCGTCCGGTCAGACGAAAAATCGGAAACAGCTGAAGTTCAACGAAAGCACAAACGTACATATCGATATATCGATATTTTTCCACGTTCATAGCGCTTAAACCTTGTTTTCTAAAATATTTCAATTAAAAAGAATCCTTGAAGCTAGCCAATCTTGTAGGAAATAGATTCATCTATCTGATAAAATTATATGTTTAGTGCTGAAAGTTCTAGCTAGCTACTAATATTAAACCGAATATCAATGTCGAGAAATATGATATCCGGACGTGGACAGAGAACGATTAATCCACTGTCGACCAAGGGGGTTTTAAATAATCCCACGAAAATGATGAAACTTGAACAATATTGGCGCAATTCAGGTGAAAGAGATCGTTGTAATTTTTTTTTTGCATGTGAAGAGGAATATTAGATCTACAAGAAGAGTTTCCAAACAGCATTATTTCCAGCGGTTTAACTCAATTTTTTCACCTGTTTAAATTGAGGGAGGTTAAGTGGGTTAAGTTCGTTTTTTATCGGTATATTTACAGTACTTTTGGAGCATGAGTAGGTATATTTCGGTATATTTCGGTATGTTTCCGAGTTTATATAAATCCACTGGGGCTATCAACGTTGCTTTTCCATTAACCGCAGTTTTAGTCAAGATCTTTTCGAAAAATTGACAAGTGTCCTCCAAACACACTCTCTTTCCCAGTAGAGACGAAGCGACGTCGCAGCGATGACGGGTATAATTTCCATAATAACGAGGCGGCTGCCAAACAGTGTCCAAACCATTGGCCTGCGCGCCGTGCGGAGTCATGAAGTAAGTGCAGGGGGTCGGCCAGGGGAGTTGCTGGCGATTCCTGGCGAGGGGCGCGGCTCCTAGTCGAATTGTATGTGGGGGCCGAGCTGCAGGCAACGCGCCTCCTCGCCACCGTAGACGTCACTGCAGCTGCTGAGGCCGGGCCAGGCAGCTATCCCAATGCGATTATGTAATTGTGTGTGTGTGTGCGTGCGCCGCTGAAAAAATGGCAAAATGTTTGCCCAGCCCGGCTGACACGGGTCTGGGCCCACAGCTGACGCTAGCGGCAAGACACACGTGATTCTGACTGACGTCCGACGTTGCTCCTGGTTGTGCAATCATTGATTTTTACTTTTCCTCCCCAGCTGAAGCGCTGCCTCCGTCAGTATTCCCGACTAGTTGCCGTGTCTGTCGCCAAGCAGCAGCAACTCCTGAACCAAGATGCCAATCTACGCTGCCAGGAAGCCTCGCGGTAAGTGCCCAAGACTCCATGGACTGCCATGCCATGCTAACTGAATCTCATTTCGTCACTGTCTAGGGTCATTACATGGCAGGGCTTCCACACCACCTCGCACCTGTGGCAAGAGCAGTCGGTGAAAGTGCCACCATTCGCCGACTCAATCGCCGAGGGAGACATCAAGTAAGTCGCGAGCAGCTGTGCCCGGTCATTGACGTGGATCGAGCAACAGGTTACTTAGTCAGAAACAGCTTGACAGGGCACCCGTTGTTCTGCCGCTGATGATGGCATATCGCAATATTATCACTGCCAATGCCAACACAACTTCTCACTCGCCACAGGTTCACCTGCAAGGTGGGCGACTCTTTTGCGGCGGACGAGGCGGTTATGGAGATCGAAACCGACAAGACGACGGTGCCAGTGCCAGCTCCATTCGCCGGCCAAATCACCGACATTCTGGTCAAGGACGGAGACACTGTCAAGCCTGGCCAGGAACTGTTCAAGATGAAGCCGGGCGCAGCGCCTGCCAAGGCGGCGGGTGCCGCCGCACCAGCTCCAGCTCCTGCTGCACCCAAGCCAGCTCCAGCTGCGGCTGCTCCTAAGCCAGCAGCGGCGGCTCCAGCTGCCAAGGCTCCACCACCACCGCCACCAGCAGCCGCTCGTCCGCCACCACCACCACCAGCGGCTCGTCCCCCACCAGCTGCTCCTCGTGCTGCCGCGCCTCCGCCAGCTGCCCTCGCCCAGGTGAAGCTGCCGCCTGCAGATGGCACCCGCCAGATCCTGGGTACCCGTTCCGAGCAGCGCGTCAAGATGAACCGCATGCGCCAGAAGATTGCGGCTCGCTTGAAGGACGCCCAGAACACCACAGCTATGTTGACCACCTTCAACGAGATCGACATGAGGTAAAGTTAAAGCAAAAGGAGATGCTCGTGCAGTGTCCCAATTAATGCCTTCCCTTGCCCCCAGCTACGCCATGAACTTCCGGAAACAGAACCTGGACGCATTCGTCAAAAAGTATGGCATCAAGCTGGGCTTCATGTCCATCTTCTCGAAGGCCAGTGCCTATGCGCTGCAGGATCAGCCCGTGGTGAACGCTGTCATCGATGGCACGGTAAACACGCCCACGCCCACGCCCCCCTATTCGCTGCTTGCTTATCGTTCGTGACGTAGCTTTATCTCGGCCAATAGTCAGTTGTTTGTATGCTTGGTTTATGCAACTTCCCGTGGCACCGATAAGGCCCGATAGGTCCCGATTAGAAAACACGACGTCAGGCCTGATGTAGCGCCATGTTTTCGATGTTTGTCTTTCGATTTATTATGCCCCCTGTTCTGTTTTTCAGGACATGGTGTACCGCGATTATGTGGACATCTCGGTGGCCGTGGCCACACCGCGTGGATTGATGGTGCCCGTCATCCGGAACGTGGAGAGCATGAACTATGCCGACATTGAGATTACATTGGCCGGTTTGGCTGACAAGGCCAAGCGTGACGCCATCACTGTGGAGGATATGGACGGCGGCACCTTCACCATCAGCAATGGTGGAGTGTTCGGCTCCCTGATGGGCACGCCCATCATTAATCCACCTCAAAGTGCTATTCTCGGCATGCACGGCATCTTCGAGCGTCCCATCGCCGTCAAGGGAGAGGTAAGATTGCATTTGCAACACTAATTGCTGATGGAATTGCTGATGCATTTCAAATACAGGTAAAAATTCGTCCCATGATGTACGTGGCGCTGACCTACGATCATCGGATCATCGATGGACGCGAGGCCGTTCTGTTCCTGCGCAAGATCAAGGCTGCCGTGGAGAACCCAGCGATCATCGTCGCCGGCTTGTAGAGTGCAATGTTGTCAAGTGCGTTCACGCTCATCCGTTGATATTAGTCGTCTCCTCTCAATATGAAGCTCCCTTTCGGTTATTTATTATCTTATTTTCGCCAAGGTCACAAAACGATTTAAATTGCATTCGGTATGCACCATCAGAATTAGTCGAAATAAAACATGGACAAGTGGATTTGTTTTCTAAACACGCTGTTTGCTTGTACCTTGCACTCTTGCACTCGCACTCGCACTTTGTCCCCCAAAAAACATTTGATGTTTAACTAAGATGCTGAAATGCAATAATGTAATGTAATAAAAAGCGATCACGAATATCGACCAACCTCAATAACACCAAAGCAATCTTTTGGCTCGTAGAAGGGATTGATCATTAATTTGGGAAGTGACTGCAAGGACTGTCGTGGAATATTTTCTTTGGTTTTTAAAGTACATATTGTAAAGGCTGAAATTATAATATAAAGATGAAGCATGAGAGTCAACGAGTACGTGACTCTGAAGAAGAAAAGAAGGCCACCTTGGCTTACTAAGAGAATAAGATAGTAAGTTCTTGTTTATTCATGTATTTTGTCTACTAAAACTAGTCACAAAAGTGTAGAGAGTAGGCTCGAGACGACAAACCAGATGTTTGTTTTCGAAAGTGATGCATCGCCAATGTACGTGTTCTATGATCCTTGATAAAGGGTATCCCAATAAGTGTTTGATATCCAAGTAAAGTCCAATAAATGCAGCTGTTTATACTGTACAAAATTACAGATGAACTCTTGCCCATTGTATTGAATTCTTTGGATTGTTCTTCAGACCATGGGATGCTGCTTCCATTCAGAATAATAGCCTGAAAGGATGAAATCCTAAAAGGTGTATAGAAAGTAAAGGAAAGAAAAAGTCTCTGGTTTTTGGTTTTGTTTTGTTATTTGAGCAAATTGGCTTGTACAATTTTATTGATTTTTGTTTTTGTTTGTTTTTAGTGTGTAGTAATTTGTCACTAATTTTACGAGTATTTCTAATGGTTACAATGTTGAGTGTTTTTTGTGTGTGTTTTTTGTTTTGTTTTGTTTCAAATAATATTTCATACAAAGTAAATAATTTCTTTTGATTTTTTGAGGATACTTTTTGGGTCACATGAATTCGAATTCGAATGTTACAAATTTACTTAAAGAGAAACAATATATATGATGTGTATGTACTATAGTTTTTTGTCATAGAATGGATCTTTCAAAGATGGGGGGGATTAACACAGTTTTGATTTTGGTTTGCTTTTTGCTTTTTGTTTGCTTTTTGTTTTGTCTTCCAGATGCTTTTGCTTATCACAATTTATGTTGTCGAAATAACTGAGAACTGAAATTGTTGTTTGAATCTGAATCTGTACGAAGATAATGATAGTAGGGAGAATTATCGAAATAAATAATATAAATAAATCTATACGTGTGTGTGTTGCATGTGTATGTGTGTGCCGTTTGGATGTGTTGGTTTGTGTACATGAATGTTTGTATAAAAAATCACATAAAAAATGCAACAATCGTTTCGTCTAAAACAAGAATTGACATTTTAGGCAAAAGGATTGGCATTATCTACATTTAGTTTTTGTTTTTTGTTTGGTTTTGTTTTTTGGGGCCCTTTTCGATGATTTGTATGCTTTTGTGCATGTTAAATTTTTAGCTTAACTAAGGGGATACAGAGTGTAGTTACATTGTACGATTCACGCTTAATTATAGGTAGATATATTCTGACTTGTTAATTCTGTTTTTTTTTTGGGGTCTAGACAGGGCCTAAGCTTCTTGCGCTACTGAATCAAATTTGTGATCATTTTTTTTTATCAGCTGCCCAAAGGGTAGAATAGTTTAGAATATTGGTGGGTGGGTCGGGGAGTGGGGATAGTAGTAGGGGTCTGTGGTGGTGGGTCAGTCAGTCCTGCACTTGGGTTCCGGTTCCGTTGCAAGTGCAGCACTCTTAAGACTAAGCAATTACACTAGGTATCCCCACCTTGTGTCCGAAATGTGTTTTCTTTTTCTCTTTTTCTTTTTTTTTTCTATCTCTGTTTTGTGTTGCTTTGCTTTGCTCTCTCTAGCTATCTCTATCTTTCTCTCTCTCTCTCTGTCTGTCTGTCTCTCTATATATTCACTATGTATATCTCCTCTATATATTTCTATCTCTCTCTCTGTCTTGGATCTCGTCCAGAGATCGTGGGTCGGGAATGGGTAGTTTTAGATGCCTTTCAATAGAACTATTGTACAAGATTCCATTTGCTACTTTTTGTGGTTGCTTCTCGCGTCTGCTGCGCGTCTCAATGATGTTGCAAATTTCCAAATTGCCCGAAACGTGCATTTTCCTAGCCAAAATGTTGGAAATGTTCTTCCGATTTTCCTGGTCTGCCTTGCTCGCTGGTTTGCTGCATTCATAACTAAATTTCTGGTCTAGTTTGTCGCCGTGTCAGAAGGGGTTTTCTTTTGGTTAATATTTGGAGCATATGGGGGGGGTTCGGGCGGTTTGTTCCCTGCTCTCACTGCTGCTGCTGCTGCTTCTAAATGTTTGGTTTGGCTTCGGCTTGGATGTTGTTTTGGGTGTTTCTTTTTTTCTTCTTTTTTTTTTTTGCTGCTGCTGTTAGTACAAGTCGGAAATGTGTAATTTCATAAGACGGTTTTTGCATTTTCTTGTTGCTTTGCTGCCAAGTCTCTAGGTGGTGGTGGTGGTATGTATGTGTGTGTGTCGTCATTGAGTGTGGATTGGTGGGGTGGTGTGGTGTGTGGTGTGGGTCGGGTTCGTGGTGGGGTGGCGTCGGCTGCCGCTTGGCCTGGCAACTTTCGCCATGAATTTATAAATCAAAATGCTCTGCTCTGCTGCTGTCTAGTGGCCATTGAGTGCTGTGCTGCTGCTGCTGTTTGCTGCTGAAGTTGGGGCTGTATCTGGGTAAGGGACTGTCAGGATTGGTGTCTCTTCAGGGTCTGCTGGTGCCTGGTGCTCTCTGGTCTGTTGCTGTTGCTGGTTGCTGGTGGCTCCCCTGCCCAGCCATATTTTATTTATTGATGGCAATTATGCCTCGACCTCGACTATTGCCAGTATAGTTTATATAAATTTGAAGTTTTGTTTGATGTGCTTTCAACTGCATGATGCTGATGGTGCCGATGCTGATGCTGCTGCTGCTGCTGCTGCTGCTGGAGTTCTGAATGATGGTTCGAACTTTTGCCAAAGAAACCTCTCGCCTGACCACAATTTGAAAGGTCCTGAACTGTTAGCTTCTAGTGGGGTGTGCCTGGAGTTTGAGTTTTTATTCGGTGGGTGGCAGGATGGAGAGGAGGGCTTGTTTTTGCCATGTGCGTGTGACACTCGTCTCGAATTATTACTTAAAGTTCAGAAACTGAAGTTGTGCTTCTGCTGCTGGTTCTATGATTCTGCCTTCATTTTGTTTGCGATTCTGATTTTGAATTTGATTTCGAATTGAATTTGGGTTAATTTGTTGTTGTTGTTGTAGTTTTCATAGTTCTGAATGGTTTTCATCTTTGTATTATTTGTATGGCGGCCTTCAAGCGAAAGTAATGCTGCTTGAGGCCTCTCCCTGGAGGCCATCAAAGTGGTCATCGGTCGAATCTTGGGCTTTTGCGGTGGCTGCCTGCTTCGGTTTTGTAGTTTATGAAATTTTGTTTATGCCTCTGCTCAAATGTTTCTTTTTAGTGCAGCTTCAACCCCCTTCTTTGCCTCTTCATCTATGCAAAAAGTTCTTTGAAATCGCGTGTTCTTTGTCTCTGGATTCTGGTTCTGATTCGGATACCGATTCTGGTTTGTTTTTGTGGATTTTGCCGCTGCGGAGAGCTGGGAATTGTTTTGTTTCGCTGTGATTTATCTGCCGCCTGCCGCCTGCCTCTCGACTCTCCTCGACTCCTCGCCCTCGGGCCGCCATTTGTAAGATTTTGGGCCAGAAAGTTGGCCAGCAAATGCTGGCAGGCTCCCTGTCCTGTTTTGGGTGTCCCTGTCGCGTCTTTTGCTTGCCAGCGCGGGTTCCTTTTTGGCTTTTGCTCCTGACATTTTGTCGCATTAAAACTTCCGCAATTTCTTGTAATTTATAATGCTGCCTTTTTGGAATTTTGGCTGGAATTTCTTTCTTCTTTTTTTCGGTTTTCGTTTTTCGTTTTTGTTTTCGTTTGTTTTTTGGCTTTGGCTTTTTTGTTTCAGAACTGTCCGCGGGAGTGCTTAATCATCTTAATGTGGCCATAATTATGCACCGAAGGATTCCTCACGAATGTCGCGACTTTTGTTTTCTTTTTGACAATTTTTGTTAGTTTTTGGCAATTTTGAATTTGATTTCCTTTTTGTTTTTTTTGGCTGGTTTTGGGCTTGGTTTTTGAATTTCGGATTTTCTCGTTTGGATTTCTCTTGGTCAGCCATCAGCATCGATGGATAATAATTTTCTTTTGGCTTTAATTTCTGTGACTTTTGTAGATTTGGATGATTTTTTCTTTTGAGTCTTGAGCTAAAAATCGCTAAAATTTACCTGCTCTAAGTGTCTTGAGAAAGTGTTAAATTTAAGCTGGATTTTGAATTTTGTGGCCGGTTAGTGTTGGAATTTTGATGGTATTTCGATTGAATTTCGTTGGAATTTCGGTTTTCGATTTTCGGATTTTGATGATTGCCAGATTTTGAGAGGAGCCGAAAGTTGAAAGTTTGAATTTTGGATTTTTAGGTTTTCAGTTTCTAAAATTAAATAATTTAGATAAAGAAATGTTAATACGAATGTCGAGACAGTTAAACTTTGTCGGGCTTCTTCTAAATATTATTTTTAAATGTTTTACTCTTCGGAATGTGGATATTTCTTTTTGTTTGATTAAATAAATTCGATGAGTTGATTTTCGATATGAAAGATTGCAATTTTTTATAACTTTTTTGGTGGTGTTTTTGATATTTGTTTGGTGTTTCAGATCTTAACTTTTGAATTTGCGCTTAAATAATATAATTTGAGTTGGAATTTGTCTTAAAAAATTAGTTTAGGACGCATGAACATTTTTAAATTTTTGAATAATTTTGTAATATATCAAAGGAAGTTTTGGTATTTACCGAAGGTATTAAAGTCTTAAATTTCAAATGGATTAAAATTATTTTCAATGAAAGATTTTTGTTGAATGCATAAATTTACTCTTGTTTCTCTTTTGGAATTTTGTAATATGTTTTTGGGCTTGAATTTGATCTCAAAAGGTATACCTTGAATGATGATTTTAATGATGTATTTTTGATGTTTATGATGTTTTTTTTGTTTATAAAGTTTTTTGTGTTCTTTGAATTATGTTATGCTTTCATGATTCCATTTTCGTGTCAAATATGAGAGACTGCGCTGATTTTGGA